CACAATGCAGTGTTCCCAACCATCTAACGCTTTGCAATGTCCACGGTCATGCTGGCTTTTAGCTTTCCTGGTATACATCATTCAATCGATTTCCCATTCTCAGCTAGCGAGCACATTCCAACTCCTCACGCATTAAAGAAAAATGAGTGCATTTTCCCCTGAGCAATAGAAAGAAACCAGGGAATATTTTCCCACATGAATTTATTTTCTGTCACCCTTGAACCAAAGTCAAAACTGTTAGCAGATGGACTATAAGTATAAGTGCACAGGATCTGGATGCTTGCTTAGTTGCCACACTTTGCTCTGCCATGACTTCAGAGACACTAGCATCAATATAAACAAACTACAGAGACAAAAACACACAAAAATGACAGTTCTGATGCTATCAGCTAAAGCATGCCAGAGACGGTGGCAAAACCTAGCGTACATCATCCCGTCATTAACTTCACCAAAGAAAGGGCTGCCCCGAGGTTGATGCTGTCCAGCTGATGTACTGCTAGATCTGTGAAAACAGGACCCCGTTCGTGCAGTTGCTGCTCAGGAACAGTCTCATTTAAGGGCCTGCTGCAAGCAATGCCACAGACGCTTTGAGCAGAGCAGTACTATTTAATGATAAGACCAGTGATGAAGTAATAATGAGAAGCCATAAGGGGGAAATGGTGGATCTCTCAAAATGATCAAGACACAGGGAATTTTATTCAACTGAGGGAAAGTCCATAAAATAAATATATGTATTTTGGACTTACTTTTAGATGTTTCAGGAAGATATCTGCTAAATAATTTAAAAAAGCTGAGACTGAGAAATGGCATATGACAATAAAATCTGTGTCTCAACATATTTTTATTTGCTGTCACTTTGTAGAAAGTGAAGCATCTTTGGGGAAGGTAAAAGGGAGCTGACATGACTACTTTTGAAATTACTTGGTCCCTTTGTCTGTAACCAAATTATGCAGCTGGATACAACAAAAGGACCAGGGTCAGGGGCTAGAGGAAACAAAAGCAGGAGTATAAGGTAAATGCTACTGTTGTTTCTGTCAGGTGCCTGGCATACACCTGAAGTTTCTGTGCATGAAGGAGGAAATAGGATCAATTACCAGGTAACTCTTTGATATGTCATGTGTGATGACATCATAAAACACTCAGATTTGGTCTCTATCCTTAGTTTTGAAACAAAGGCAATCCTTCTGTAATTTTCTAGTTGATCAGTGTGCTTGCTAGGTTCATCTTTTGTTCTAACATCTGATCTCTGACTGCGAATCCTAATTTTTTATTCAAATGAGGGATGGAATCAAGGGTCTTGAGCATGCGCATAAGTGCTCCACCACTGAGCCATACCTGTGCTCTACTAAAGTTACTCTTTTTATTTTATGTGTACAAATGTCTTGCCTACATGTCTGTCTGTATACCACATATGTGCCTATTGGGGCCAGACGAGGATGTCAGAGTTACAGACAGTTATGAGCCACTACATATGTTCTGGGAAGTCAAAATGGAAGAGCAACCAGTGTTTAGAACTACCGAGCCTCTCTGCAGCCCCGGATGTGGCAAAACAAAGCCATGAATAAAAGTTAAATTAAAACCCCATTCCCCATGATTTGGGAAGAACAAAGGGCTAGAGACTGAGTGTACGACCATTACAAAAATTCCATGAACTGGTGAGCTCAACATTCATAGTACCTGAGAGCTTAGGGTAGAAGGACCGCTTGAGTCTCAGGAATCTGAGCCAAACCTGGTTCTATCTCAAATACAGTTACACAAAACCCATCCCTGAACCACAGGATTGGGAGTTTCTGAGTCGTTGACCATGTGAGAGTACCTGGAAGGAAGCACAACTACAGCCAGGATGGAAGCTCTACCTGAATGTCCTATTGGCATCCTGTCTCTTCCATTGTGCTGTGCATGTGTGTCTTCTGCAGTGTTCTCTAGAATGCATAGGTGGGTGGACGCTGGGTGAACTGTTTCCCCATATTCTGGGAGATGTTTTAAGAAACAACCTGAGAAACGGCAGTATCAGAAACTTAAATGCTGGGCAGTCCTAGGTACAGGTCACAGCCTGGGGCCCGTGAGTGACACTTGAAGTGAAGGGTCAGGAAGATGTGACTTAGAGCAGTGGGGCTGATGCTATCTCTATGTAGATCGCTGGCAGGTTGGAATGGATTTAGGATGCCATCCATGCAAGAATTGCAGGTTGTTCGGGGAAACCCTCTCATTTATCTACGGTGAGTTGGTGTTGCACCGAGTATATGGAAGATGAAACACTGATGGTCTGTTACACGCACTATGCTAAACACCCTCAGATGTCAAAAGCATTGCAGCAAAAAATTAAAGTAGGTTTTCTAAGGCCCACATATGTCTGAAATCTGGCCGGGAAGACATTCCTCACTTTATGCTGTGGCCACAGTTCATTTGTTACCAGTGTCTAATGAATGTCAGACTAAGGAATAAAGCATGGTGCTCCTGTGAGGCCTGATCCTACAGGCTGGTCCACCTTGAGTCTGAATAACACAGAAAGGCTACAACTTGAATCAACATGTTCTCAAATACTATACTGATTCCACCTACCGTGCAGGAGGCAATCTGGGTCTAGGCATACCCAATACATAGAGTGAGGAGATACATATGATTTCCCTATAGACTGGAACATCATACACCAGCGATCTCCTGAGTCCAACCAAATGGTACAATGGTTGTCTTATTTAATACTATGACAAAATTTAAACCCTATTATGAAGAAGCAAAATACTGGCCTAGATGAGACTTTCAATAGGGAATGAGGGGCTGTGCTCTTGTGAATCCATTAATCCATACATGGGACTGACAAACAAAAGCCTTTCTCAAAAGCTGGGCTTTTGAGAATCTCTACAGTCCAGTTTGGCTAGATCTTTCAAGCATTCCCCATTTTTCACTTGCTGAGGTCCTGAGCCACCTCTAGACACTGGCAACAAGGTCACCACCAGGACCTGGAACCATGAGTCAATATAAATTTCTTGGTGGGAGGTGGTGGCAAAAAAGAAGGAGGAGGAGGAAAAAGAAAAAGAAGAAAGTCTTTTTTTCTCCGTAACTTAGCCTATGGCGATATGTCTATAGCAATAACAAACAGTTAAGACGCAGAGCAAGGGAACAGGTATGTAAGCACAGTCGTAGAGCATTTGCCTAGCAACACACACACACACACACACACACACACACACACACACACACACACA